ATATTCCACATTTAATTATTACAAAGTTATATAGATATTGTTTATTACTGAACCATGTAGTATATTTTTCTTATAAAACTGTGTTTTCCCTTAGTGTTAATAGTTGCCTTGTTTGCTTAGTTTTAAAAAACATAACTATCACTAATTCATCATCAAGCTATTAGAGCTTATAAAACTCTCAATATGGTCAAGCATATCAGGCAATCTACTAGCTTCATTTTCCCCCTTAGAAACACTACTCATGGAATCATCCAGAAGCATCTTCCTGCTTTGGTCTGACTGCTCTCCAGGCCTGATGAAAGTTCTCTCCACTATGGTTCTGGGAAATTCCCTGTGTTTCTTTCCTAAATTGGGTGGATCCTTAGGGCAATTCACCTCCCTCTGTGTCCACCCTTCTTGGTTTACTCCCTAGTTTAGAGCACATCCTCCAGCAGTTTCCTGATAAGTGTGCACAAGAGCTAAATTTGAGGCCTTGTGTGCCTGGAAATGACTATTTCCTCACACTTGATGAAAACTGTGCTAAGTATACATAAAGTAAAAACCATTTTCTACTTCCAGTTTTGCTGAAAAGTTGAAGTGTTTTGATTTCTAATCATTAATGTAAGACCTTTCTAAAGGCCTTTTTGATCTTTATTCCTAGTGCAGTAAAATTTACAGAAGTATGTATTGACAATGAATATTTTTTCTACTCATTTTTCCAAGTACTCAGTAGGTCCTTTCAAACTCTTTCATATCTTTCCATTCTGAACAATTTTCTTGTATTATCGCTTTAATAATTTTGTCTCTTTTTCTCTCTCTTTCTGAACTCCTAGGAGTCAGATATGGAACTTCAGAATCAATGCTCATTTTCTTAATATTCTTAGCTTTTCTCAGTCTTACATACCTAACATTATCTTCCAGTGCTTCACTTGGTTTTCTCTACTTCTATCATATATTTTATTTCTAAGAGCTCTTTCTTGTTCTCTAATTATTCCTTTTCTCTAGAATCCTGTTCATGCCTCATCAATACAAAATGGACTCTTACTAGATGGCCTTATGTATCTGAGGCTCTTACTTAAAATTTTTAAGCTTTCTTTTGCTCTCCTTATAGTCTTTCATTTTTGTGAGTTTAAAAAATATATATTATTATTAGTTTCTTTTCTATTTATTTTGGTCTGTTTCATGTTGAAAGATTTCTTCAATTGGATATTCTTGCTTAGATGCCCGTTCATATTCAAGAGTGAGGCAACAAAAAGTTGATTAGAAGTCATGTGCAGAGGTGTGGGGCTCATCATCAGAGGATGTTAAGATGCAGACCCAGCTGTTTCATCAGAGAACTCCCCAAATGTCCATACCTGCAGGTCTTTTCTCTTGGGCTGGTCAGTTTCTCAGATGAGGCCTCCAATATTCTGCATAGGACATGTACGTTGGGCTGCCAGAGTCTGGGAGCCGGTGAAAAAAGGGGCCTAAGGAGCCTCACTGTTTAGAATGCAGGCTTTCACTTAATTCCTCTGTTTTCAATATAGTAGTAGCTCTACCTTCCCTCAGATGTGTAGGGAGGTACTTAAGTCTGGAGCCTCTTAGGTGCAACCTAATGTCACTTAATGAGCTAGGGTTGGGGTAATCATGTAGCTGAGCCGAGGATCAGGAGGTCTAACTCCCATAAATGTACTTTCAATACCTTTTACCTTCTGAGGTTCATAGTGCCTTCGAATCTTGAGCCTTTCTGGAGCTCTGTGGGACATATCAGCATGCTTCATGCTCTAGTCCCCTGCGCAGGAACCAGAGTCTCTGCTCAGGTTTCAGCCTCTCTGCTCTGCTAAGTAATCCACCTTCTCTATTCCAAAATGTGAATGGCATTGCCTCTTCTGGTCTTTTTGTTCTTATGAGTTATAAACTTTTAAAAAGTTCTTCATTATAATTTTAGTAGGGTTTCTTTATTATAATTTTATAAAAAGTTCTTTATTATAATTGAAGACAGTGACTGTGTTCAACCCATTGTGTTAAATGCAAATTCTGTATCAAGCAAAAGTAATTTGGTGTCATTACACTAACCTTCATCATATTCCCATCGATACTTCAAGACTGAGTAGAAGTAAATAAGAAAGAGCTTAAAATGTAAATACGACACCTGTAAATAGTAAATGTTCTGCATGATTATTTAAAAGATACTTTTTGGTCAATCTACATTTGACTGAATAAAACTGCTCTACTTTCTCAGTGTTGTCAACTCAAATTATTTCTATTGCAATCAATTATTAATTAGCCATATATATGTATTCATACGTGTAAATAAATTGCTTTCAAAAGGTATCTTCGAAAAAAACACTTTATCCTTTTACACGCTGAATAAAATAGTTTCAGAAAGGTAACCGTTTATAAATGGTATCGAGCAATGTTTCATATTCAGTATTTCTACTATTTGTGTTTAGAAAGGCAAGTTAACTAGAACTGAGAATTACCAGTGATTCTGTGAGCTAAACGAGCCCACTTTTATTTGGTCCTGTCTCTTATCTTCTATAACCCTGCAAGAAAGTGTCATTATGTCTACTTTACAGATAAAAAAGCCAAAGGTAGGTTATTTGCAAAAGGTCACACAGGCAGCACGTGGAAGAGAAGAAATTCAAGCTTAGATCTGCAAGGTCTTCTCACAGTAACCAAAACAAACTGTATTTGTTAATAATTTTGAATTAAATCAATAGTAATCATTTCAGGATAAAAATAGGACTTCAATTTAAATCACACATCTAATATCTTACTAGACAACTGGATGCAAAATACTTTGGCATTTATTGATAAATATTTACTTTATAAAGATACTATGAGCATCAACTCCCCAATGATGCATCCCAGGAGTTTCAGGAACATTTAAGACCCACCCCTAGGAACACATAGACCTAAGAAATTCAGATGACTCGGTTTCCACACCTCTACGCCTTCGCATTATTCTAGATACTTTATCATTGTAATAATCCACAATACCTACATTTTCGTTTCAATTAAAAAATTCTTTTTAATCCTCACCCAAGGATATGTTTAATGATTTGAGAGAGAGGGGGAGAGGGAGGGAGAGAGAGGGGGAGGGGGAGGGAGACGG